ACAAATTTTTAATGTATTAATGATTTAAATGTGATAATCATAAAATAGGAAAAAAGAAAAAATATTAAGAGAAAATACAGCTGGATATTTATGACATACTCATAATTGCGAAATAAATACTGGAATAAAGAGAAAACTTAAATCTTTTTAAACTACACAGTTAAACAAAACAACATAGGAAAAAAAAGGCACAGGAAAAATACTTGCTTTTTTGCTTATTTCTTAGTACAAGGAAACACTGGAAATATTGTAGATTTGGTTCCAAATAACCACAAAAAAATTTAGTCACTCAAGCCTTTTTTTTATTTCCCAGTATGGAATATGAAAGTGGATAATAGTATTGCTAAAAAGATTGAAATACTGTCCAGGGTCATCCATTTTGTATAATATTTCATGATTTCTTTGTTTTTCAATGTAGCATAGTATTCCATTGTGTGAATGGGCAGGGAGGAAAATGTGCAACAATGAATGAATGGGGGGAAATTAAATGGAGAGAATATGCTATTAAAAATATATGTATGTTGCATTAAAAAGTTTTAAATACTGTGAGAACTGCTAAAATGTGACACAGAGATATGAAGTGAGCACATGTGTTAGAAAAATGGCACCAAGAGTCTTAAAAGACTCAAGGCAGCCATAAACCTTCAATTTGTACAAAAGCTCAGTAAAACAAAGCACACAATAAAGCTAGGCATCTTGGAATGCACCAAGTCTTTAGATAGGAAAGAAACAATTTGCCACAACTGGTTACTATTTTCTCTTCTATCATATTAGTAGTTCATATAATATTAATAGTTCACAGAATTTTCTACGGTGACTGCATCATCAGTTGACAGTACAAAATTAGTAATAGCAATTTTAGGCAAAAATTTCAAGAGAAATATTCATAAAGGGCACATAATTTTCTGATTAAATGATATGAAACAGAATATGAACACTGTGTTTACTTGAATTTTTACCATAAGCAAATATTAGTGGATAAGAAATGCATAGTTTTAGCCTAAAATAGTAATTGTAATTATTGGCTTTATAGGATGAAAATAGCCAAACCTCATAACCATCTGAAGTATTGTGCACTGTCTGGTTTTGATGACTGAAAACAAAGTAAAATTAGAGAAGATACCATAAAAAAAGTGACAAAAAATTGAGAAAGACTGAGAAATCATTTAGTCTTTAATGGCTTAAATGATATAAAATATATATAATCCCAGAACATTTAATTGTGCTAAAGCGAAACCTATACTTGGACCAAGAGGCAGTCATCAGAACAGAGAAGGGCAACACTGCATGGTTCAAAATTGGGAAGGGTGTACGTCAGGGATGCATCCTGTCTCCATACCTTTTCAACATGTATGCAGAGCAGATTATCGGGGAGGCTGGGCTCTATGAGGAGAATTGTGGTATCAGGATTGGTGGAAGATCTATTAACAATCTGCGTTATGTAGATGACACAACCATGCTTGCTGAAACTGAGGAGGACCTCATGCACCTGCTGCGAAGGGTCAAGGACTGCAGCCTTCAGTATGGACTGAGGCTCAATGTCAAGAAGACAAAGATTCTCACCACTGGACCAATTGGCAGCGCCACAATGGATGGTGAAGCGATTGAGATTGCTCACAACTTCAGTTTGCTCGGCTCCAAGGTCAACACTCTTGGCACCAGCAGCAAGGAAATAAAAAAGCATATCGTGATGGGAAAGTCTGCCGTTAGGGACCTTTCTAAAGTACTCAAGAGCAACAGTGTCTCTCTGGAGACTAAGGTGCGCCTGATACAGGCCATGGTCTTTGCAATCACTTGTTATGTATCAGAGTTGGACAATGACTAAGGGAGGACAAAAGGAGAGTTGATGCCTTTGAGCTGTGGTGCTGGAGAAGAGTACTGAATGTACCATGGACTGCCAGGAAAACAAACAGATTCAT